TGTGTGAATTTTATGTTAAATTGAGTGTCAAATTTGATCAAGTGAATATTTTTTTATACAATATTAAATTTAACCGACACGAGCACCACTCAATATGGTAAATGCAACAAAAATTTTTTAAATCGTGAATAACAGTAAATAGCAATGCAAAAAATTTACAATATTTTTTTCAATGTTACAACAAAACTTTATAGACAATGTACGGTAATTACGCGTACTCGTTCTCGTATTCGTACAACAGAAATTATTTTCAAATAATTCCTTATGCAAATAATGCAAAATTGTTATATTATTCTGTTTAATGAATTATTATTATTTAGACATATTGAATTAATTGCTGCAAGTTAATTGCTAGACTCATTAAATTTGATGAATGTTACCAATATATGAATGAGCTACAATTCAGTTTGAGCAATGAAGCGTAAACGAAACATTGGACCACTAATTTTAAACAGCAAAAAACACAAGCGCAAAAAAAGATTTAATGAAATAAGTGTTATTTAACACTTACTTTGTGCTCAATGGTCGTTTGTAGATTCTTATCCAAATGCACCTTTATAATTTGGGTGCCATCCATTTTGGCACAAATACGTTTGCCTACGATCTCTGCTGGAAACACTAAATCTTCTAAAATAAAATACACAGCAGTTAAACTACGCGAACGGATTATTGCACCGTCTTGTTTTTACGAAAACTTTGTAATTACTCGTTCACTATCTAAGTCTTTACGATGCTGATATAACTCCTCTTCCTCTTCAAGTGGTCCTTGCAAACCCATATGAAATATTTTTCTCATCCACCAGAAACTCCATCACGAAAATATATTAGCGGTTGAGTAGGGATTCTTTGGGCGTTCAATTTTTCTTCTAGTCCGATTCATGTTAAATTTCTTTATTTACAGTTACGTTTGGTTATGATAAACCAAAAATGTAGTAATAAATTCGAAGTTCAAGAAATGAAGATAACCGACACGAGCACCACTCAATATGATAAATGCAACAAAAATTTTTTAAATCGTGAATAATAGTAAATAGCAATGCAAAAAATTTACAATATTTTTTCAATGTTATAACAAAACTTTATAGACAATGTACGGTAAAATTACGCGTACTCGTTCTCGTATTCGTACAACAGAAATTATTTTCAAATAATTCCTTATGCAAATCATGCAAAATTGTTATATTATTCTGTTTAATGAATTATTATTATATAGACATATTGAATTAATTGCTGCAAGTTAATTGCTAGACTCATTAAATTTGATGAATGTTACCAATATATGAAGCGTAAACGAAACATTGGACCACTAATTTTAAACAGCAAAAAACACAAGTGCAAAAAAGATTTAATGAAATAAGTGTTATTTAACACTTACTTTGTGCTCAATGGCGTTTGTTTAGATTCTTATCCAAATGCACCTTTATATATAATTTGGGTGCCATCCAATTTGGCACGAATACGTTTGCCTACGATCTCTGCTGAAAACACTAAATCTTCTAAAATAAAATACACAGCAGTTAAACTACGCGAACGGATTATTGCACCGTCTTGTTTTTACGAAAACTTTGTAGTTACTCGTTCACTATCTAAGTCTTTACGGTGCTGATATAACTCTTCCTCTTCAAGTGGTCCTTGCAAACCCTTATGAAATATTTTTCTCATCCACCAGAAACTCCATCTCGAAAATATATTAGCGGTTGAGTAGGGATTCTTTGGGCGTTCAATTTTTCTTCTAGTCCGATTGATGTTAAATTTCTTTATTTACAGTTACGTTTGGTTATGATAAACCAAAAATGTAGTAATAAATTCGAAGTTCAAGAAATGAAGATAACCGACACGAGCACCACTCAATATGGTGAATGCAACAAAAATTTTTTAAATCGTGAATAACAGTAAATAGCAATGCAAAAAATTTACAATATTTTTTCAATGTTACAACAAAACTTTATAGACAATGTACGGTAATTATGCGTACTCGTTCTCGTATTCGTACAACAGAAATTATTTTCAAATAATTCCTTATCCTTATGCAAATCATGCAAAATTGTTATATTATTCTGTTTAATGAATTATTATTATTAAGACATATTGAATTAATTGCTGCAAGTTAATTGCTACACTCATTAAATTTGATGAATGTTACCAATATATGAATAAGCTACAATTCAGTTTGAGCAATGAAGCGTAAACGAAACATTGGACCACTAATTTTAAACAGCAAAAAACACAAGCGCAAAAAAAGATTTAATGAAATAAGTGTTATTTAACACTTACTTTGTGCTCAATGGTCGTTTGTAGATTCTTATCCAAATGCACCTTTATATATAATTTGGGTGCCATCCAATTTGGCACGAATACGTTTGCCTACGATCTCTGCTGGAAACACTAAATCTTCTAAAATAAAATACACAGCAGTTAAACTACGCGAACGGATTATTGCACCGTCTTGTTTTTACGAAAACTTTGTAGTTACTCGTTCACTATCTAAGTCTTTACGGTGCTGATATAAGTCTTCCTCTTCAAGTGGTCCTTGCAAACCCTTATGAAATATTTTTTTCATCCACCAGAAACTCCATCTCGAAAATATATTACCGGTTGAGTAGGGATTCTTTGGGCGTTCAATTTTTCTTCTAGTCCGATTCATGTTAAATTTCTTTATTTACAGTTACGTTTGGTTATGATAAACCAAAAATGTAGTAATAAATTCGAAGTTCAAGAAGAAATGAAGATAACCGACATGAGCACCACTCAATATGATAAATGCAACAAAAATTTTTTAAATCGTGAATAACAGTAAATAGCAATGCAAAAAATTTACAATATTTTTTCAATGTTATAACAAAACTTTATAGACAATGTACGGTAATTATGCGTACTCGTTCTCGTATTCGTACAACAGAAATTATTTTCAAATAATTCCTTATGCAAATCATGCAAAATTGTTATATTATTCTGTTTAATGAATTATTATTATTTAGACATATTGAATTAATTGCTGCAAGTTAATTGCTAGACTCATTAAATTTGATGAATGTTACCAATATATGAAGCGTAAACGAAACATTGGACCACTAATTTTAAACAGCAAAAAACACAAGTGCAAAAAAGATTTAATGAAATAAGTGTTATTTAACACTTACTTTGTGCTCAATGGTCGTTTGTAGATTCTTATCCAAATGCACCTTTATAATTTGGGTGCCATCCAATTTGGCACGAATACGTTTGCCTACGATCTCTGCTGGAAACACTAAATCTTCTAAAATAAAATACACAGCAGTTAAACTACGCGAACGGATTATTGCACCGTCTTGTTTTTACGAAAACTTTGTAGTTACTCGTTCACTATCTAAGTCTTTACGGTGCTGATATAACTCTTCCTCTTCAAGTGGTCCTTGCAAACCCTTATGAAATATTTTTCTCATCCACCAGAAACTCCATCTCGAAAATATATTAGCGGTTGAGTAGGGATTCTTTGGGCGTTCAATTTTTCTTCTAGTCCGATTGATGTTAAATTTCTTTATTTACAGTTACGTTTGGTTATGATAAACCAAAAATGTAGTAATAAATTCGAAGTTCAAGAAATGAAGATAACCGACACGAGCACCACTCAATATGGTGAATGCAACAAAAATTTTTTAAATCGTGAATAACAGTAAATAGCAATGCAAAAAATTTACAATATTTTTTCAATGTTACAACAAAACTTTATAGACAATGTACGGTAATTATGCGTACTCGTTCTCGTATTCGTACAACAGAAATTATTTTCAAATAATTCCTTATCCTTATGCAAATCATGCAAAATTGTTATATTATTCTGTTTAATGAATTATTATTATTAAGACATATTGAATTAATTGCTGCAAGTTAATTGCTACACTCATTAAATTTGATGAATGTTACCAATATATGAATAAGCTACAATTCAGTTTGAGCAATGAAGCGTAAACGAAACATTGGACCACTAATTTTAAACAGCAAAAAACACAAGCGCAAAAAAGATTTAATGAAATAAGTGTTATTTAACACTTACTTTGTGCTCAATGGTCGTTTGTAGATTCTTATCCAAATGCACCTTTATAATTTGGGTGCCATCCAATTTGGCACGAATACGTTTGCCTACGATCTCTGCTGGAAACACTAAATCTTCTCAAATAAAATACACAGCAGTTAAACTACGCGAACGGATTATTGCACAGTCTTGTTTTTACGAAAACTTTGTAGTTACTCGTTCACTATCTAAGTCTTTACGGTGCTGATATAAGTCTTCCTCTTCAAGTGGTCCTTGCAAACCCTTATGAAATATTTTTTTCATCCACCAGAAACTCCATCTCGAAAATATATTAGC